AGTTCCTAGTACGCCACCTACTTATACATACCTATACACGGAAAAAAATAATTTGGTTATAGTAGATGGTTGGATATATTTCTGTTGGTCCAACTATTTAGACGTTAAATCCAACAAAAATGTTTAGTTATGCAGATTATAAATATATTGTTGATTAATTTTAGTTGTACCAACCATTGTTTTGTTTGGTACTGCTAGAAATTATACTTACTATTAGCTAGCTATAATAAAAGATTAAATCAAACATATAGTTAAGTTCTAATAATGTTTAATATTGTTGGAGTACCTATAGGTATTGTGAAGCTAATCATTTTAATATTGTTGTATCAAATAATATGAAAATACTATAATATTTATGTAAGAATTCTGGAAAGTCCATAAGTGTATTGTTCCGTTATCTTTAGTTGGCCGAAAACCGTAGGAACGTTTCGATATCGTCTGCAGCGTCGCGATCGCATCGTCGACTTGTCTATTTAGGTATATTATAAAATATGTAATACTTCTGTCTTCTGTTAGCCATTATATTTCTGTGTTCTATTCTATATTAATATTTTCATAATAATATCAAGTCATAACCGCCATAACCGCCTATTCCTCTGTGTCTGCTGTCTGCCTGTCTGCTCGCCGCTCGCGTTTCGCTGTATTGTTATACCACTTATACCTACATAGTACATTAGTATTTAATACACTAAAACAGTAAGAAATTATTGTTATTAGTTCAGTAATAGTGGTATTACTTAATTAGTATGGCAGATTTGTTTGTTAAAACTATTTTAAATGACTTAAATGCTCCCGAGAAAATAGTTAACGAATTTGAAGGTAAGTTATTTCAATTATAATTTAAAAAATTAACTTCGGTCTAAAATATCTATTGATATCCATCGGATATTTTAATTTTTGTAGCCCAAGGAATTGATGAAGAGGCATTTAAAAATCTTACAGAATTTTTACTCAAAGAACTTATTGAAAAAAATATTGGACTCCGTTCAAAGATTTGGAAAAAAATTTCAAGTTTAAAGGAAAACAAATCTTCAATTGTGGTAAGGAACATTTATAAAATTGTTTTAAGTAATAACGTTAGGTAGGTACCTACTAGGTAGTGTTTGGTGTTTGAATTGGTTCAAAATTAGAAACTGACGCAAAAGTGTGAAAACTTATTGAATTTGAATAGGATATAATACATATATAATATAATAATATAATATATATATATATATTATATATACTCTGTCCCCCATGTCTAGGGCTCAGCATAAAAATATGCCCACTTACCCTTTTTCGCTTATACTAGAATACCTATACAATATTATGTTCAATTTATAGGCTTCTTCAAATATTAATGAAGACTATAATTTGTTTGCTGATGGTAACCTTGAGCAGGTGCAACATATTTTAAATAATGAAGATATTTCAACAAGTTTGTTTTCAATTAGTTCAAATAATTTAGAGGTGAACGATACTTAAGCTTGATTCCTCTTTTATTTTATTTTTATGTGTAGTATAAAATCACTAAAATCATGAAAAGTTGTTCCAAAACTTCATTATTTTTTCACATTATTAATTTTCTAGATTCAACATTTCAACTTGCAACATATCAATTAAAATTTATGTTTAAAAATTAAATTTATATGATAGATCAAAATCGATATTTGCCATTTTTGATATCGACCACCTCTAAAAATAAATGTTAATTTATAATATTAAAACTAAGTTAAATAATGTAAATAATATTAGGTGATCGAATATTTAATTCAAATCCACTCAGTAATGTTGAAAATTGTGTTGCCGGATCTTCTAAAAACACTGACATGATTGGATTGTTCATGAACAGTATTACTCATGATAATATTATTAGTAAAACTCATGACGATATTAATAATAGTAATATTCATGATGACATTAGTACAAATCCTATTAAGACCATTTATTCTGATGTGACTGACATTTATAGGAGTACTGCTTTTGTCAATTGTGATCAATCTTTACAAAGTCATAGTAAAACAACTGTAAGTGATAGTCTTTTACCTTTTAATTGTTATAGGATATTTAAAATAACCAAAATACAAAAGATTAATATTTTTATTTTGTCTACTTTATTGTTTTAAATTTTTGATATTATACACATTTTTTCCCTAATTAGGTAATTGAAACAAATAAAATATCATTGAAAGATATTCTTTGGCTTTATCACGATGGACAGTTAATTATAAATTATTTTGACACTAATCAAGAACTGAATGGGTATATGAGAAATAAGCTAAGCCACCTGGTTATTAGTCATTCCCTTAAGGAAGTATCATCTAAAAAAATATCTACTTCTAAATTGATGAGCTTATCTCAAGAAATTGTTGATATATTTCCTGGTGAAAACAAACAAACGTATTACATTCCTTATAGACGAGAAAATGGTAAAGTAACTCCCACACGAGGCAAGCTTTGGGATAAATATTGTAATATGCGGAGAGAACTTAGAAACTTATGTACCACAAATAAATTACAAGATGAAGTTATCTCCACTAGTGTAAATTATAATGAAGGTATAACTACTAAAATTAATTATTTTATTCTTAATATACTATCTTTTTTAAATGCTCTGTTGAAATAATAATTGAATATAATATTATATATTATATTATTATATGAAAAAAACAAAAATAAACTCCCTCAAAATTATTACTTTCCACAAATAAGAAATTAATTTAAAAATAAATAAATAATTTGATATTTTAGAATTAACTATTAAGTCATAAGCGTGCAGCTTATAGGGCTATAGCCACAACTGAGAATTTTTAAGCAGGTACTTTGGTAAAAAGAGTATTACTCAGTTTTTTGTAGAGCAAGGTAAATAATTAATAGCAGCAGGAGAACAAAGATTAATGCTTTAAATAATTGCAATATTAATTCACATAATGTTTGTACTAATAATATTATAGTATAACAATCATTTTCAATAATACATTTTATTTATACTTATCTATGTTAGGTATGTATGTCTATTTTATTTATTTTTTTTGAGGGGTGTTTTGTGAGGGTGGATGTTCGAAAAAAAATAAAAGCAACACCTCCAACAGGAATCTGAGCACACCTATGAATTAAGTTTAGGCATTATAATCAATGGTATTATAAAATATATTTGTGTTACCAAATTAACTAAAACAAAAACTTGAACTATTTGATTTTTTTTTGTTCAAAGAATTGACTGAAGAAAATATATTGTGGTTGCAAAACAATATTGCACCTTGGAATGAAGTAGCGGAAAAGTGGAAAAGTACATTTCAGTTCCGTTACAAATCATTGAGTGAAAAAGAAAAACATTATTCTTATTTTAGTGATATACCAGCAATCAAAAGTCCACTAGGCTTTACCTTGGTTTGTTTAAAAAATTTTCTATGAGAGGGGATTACTGTGACCTCTTGTTATTAATTGTTAATGTATATTTGTTACAGATTGAATATGACTTTGATTTATTATATCCAGGAAAAGATCCAATGATTTTATTTATAAAATTTGAGCTATTCAAAAAAAAACTTCCAGTATATTTACAGAAAAACAATTATAAAGGAATTGACAAGTTGGTTGTCAATGAAATTGTAGAGCCTACAGTACCTGGTAAATTTATTACAAAATTAATATGCAATAGACCTATTATGATACATAGTATCCATTATTCATAAATTAATTTAATTTACAGGATATGATAACGTTGCAGCACTTAAAACGTTTATAGAGTTATTTCAACCAATTAATGTATCGAAAAGAACAATTAGTGGCAACCTAAAAACAAAATATTGGAGACCATCAAAATTGGAACTGAAACAGTCATTTATATATTATGTTAATGTATGAAATAATTTACTGTTATTTTAAGTTATGGCTTATGGATGAACTTATTTTTTAATTAATAACCATTTTACAGAGTACATATCAACTAAAAGAAGTAAATGAAGAAAAAAGAAAAAAGGCTCAACAATTGGATCAGACTCTTCAACCGTATATGATTTTTGTTCAAGACTCAGAATTTGAAAATAACGTAAGAGACTTCTATGTAATCATAAACAATCATTTCTTTAAACTAGAAAGTGCTTTAAAAGCACTCGATGTGTGTTTTAAATCATTTTTCTCTTTAAATTTAAATTACCCAACAGAGTCTACTCAGGTTTGGTATTTTATTCAAAAATATTTTTTTGAAATAGAAACAAATTTTGATAAAAACTATCAAAATATTAATAATATCATACACGACTTGAATAATTGTTAAAATAGTTTAGTTTTTTAATATTGTTAAGTAATATTTTTTCTGTTTATTTGACTTTGAGTTACTGCTGAAATAATCAAGTTTTTTTAATATTGTAAAGTTACATTTTTGCAATAATTATTATTTACCATAATATAAAATGCCTCAGTGTTTTATTTGTTTTGAAATTTTTAATTGTCAGTTAAATTTATTGAGACATATTACCCAATATCATTCATCTAATAATATATCAGCCTTCAAATGTTTAGAATTAGAATGTTATAGAGTATTTAGTTCTTTTAACTCTTTTAGGAAACATTTGAAAACTCATAATATACCTTGTGATGATCCATTAGTCACTATAGAACCTCAAGAACCCGTATTAAATAATTTAGGTGAAATTAGCGAATTAAATAATTTATCTGTTAATAGTTCTGAAACAATAATTTTAAATTCTGAATTGACTGTGGAGACATTTAATGAAGTAGTAACAGAAGGTGCAGTAAAATTAATTTCTAAGTGGTATAATGAAGCTGTAATTCCTAGAAATAAAGTTCAAGATTTAATTAATGATATAAAATTAATTAATTTAAATAGTATTCATATTCTAAAAAATGAAGTTTTAAATAATTTAAAGTCTAATGAAAATGATCCGAGTACTATTTCAAAAATATCAACCATGTTTGATATCTTAAAAAATCCTTTTAAAGACCTTGAAACCGAATATGTACGTCTTAATACTTTAGAACGGTTAGGTGTTTATATCAAGCCTGTTGAAATTTCTATAGGAAATCGATTAAAAAATGTTATTAAAAATGGAAATACAGTACTTGATACTGTTAAAATTAATGAATATATTATTCCATTGAGATTAGTTTTTAAAAAATTTTTTGAGCAACCTAACGTTTTATTAACAGTTCTAAAATATTTTAATGAATTAAAGTTTATGCAAGGAAATATAATTTGTAGTTATTTACAGAGTGAAATTTGGAAAGAAAAGTGTAGTAAAAATCCAAATAAACTCTTAATACCTTTTTTTTTATACTTTGATGATTATGAAACCAATAATGCTTTGGGGTCCCATGCTGGTAAAAAGAAATTAGGAGCAGTATACATATCTTTTGGTTCTTGTTTTCCTTCTGAATTTTCTTCTTCATTAAATTATATATTTCTTGCATTATTATTTAATTCCATTGATAGGAAAGAATTGGGAAATAAAATTATTTTTAAAGAGTTGATTTCAGAAATCAATTTTTTACAAAATAATGGAATTGATGTTCAGATCGAAAATAATAATTATACTATTTATTTCTCCTTAGCATTAATTCTTGGCGATAATCTTGGCCTACATTCGATTCTAGGATATACTGAAAGTTTTATGGCCAATTTTCCTTGCAGATTCTGTAAATGTAGTAAACTCGAATGCAACTACTCTTTAAAGCAAGATAACAATAAATTAAGAAACAAAGAAAATTATTCTCGAGATTTATCTATTGATAATTTGTCGTTGACAGGTATTTATGAGGCATGTGTTTGGAATGAAATTGGTGGTTTTCATGCAACTGATAATTATTCTGTTGTCATAATGCACGATATACTAGAAGGGGTGTGTTCATATGATATTTCTGAAATATTGTTTGAATTTATTATAAATTTAAAGTATTTTTCGCTGAGTACATTAAATAGTCGAATTCAGTATTTTGACTATGGTCCAATTGAAGGACAAAACAGACCACAATATATTACTAGTGATCATTTAAAAAAAAAATAACTTAAAATGTCTGCAAGCGAAATGCTTTGTTTTTGTCGTTATTTAGGAATTATGATTGGTGACTTAATTCCTGACAATTCTGAAGTATGGTTGTTATATATATTATTAAAAAAAATAATTGATATTGTCACTTCTAAAGCTGTTCAAGTTGAATGTGCAGTTCTTTTAGAAACTTTAATTACAGAACATCACCAATTATATTTAAAACTATTTCATACTAACTTAAAGCCTAAACATCATCATCTACTACACTACCCTTATATAATGAAAAGAGTTGGCCCATTATCGCATTTATGGTCAATGCGATATGAATCCAAACATAGAGAGTCTAAACTAACCGCTAACTCTATATCAAGCAGGAAAAATATATGTTATACATTAAGTGCTAAACACCAACTTAGACTAGCATATCGTTTGCTTTCTAAGTCAAATAATTTATTTTCTACATTAGAAACTGGAAAAATCATAGAAATATCCAGTAGTACACTTAATTATATTCAAAGTAATATTAATAATCCAAACCTAGATTTAAGTTCAGCAAAATTTGTGTCTTGGGTAAATATAAAGGGTACCCGGTATACAACAAAAAATATGATTGTAATAATAAATATAGAAGATATGCCAAAGTTTATTAAAATTATATATATATTTTTTAAACTTGGATGTGATATTCCATACCTAGTAGGTACAAATTTTGAAACTTTAAATCATGATGAACATTTACAGGCATATGTAGTTCAAAGTTGTCCTGATATTACTTGTATTTCTTTTGATGAATTACCAATTGAAAATAGTTGTGTTCTTCATTCTAAGACTAATGACTGTAAATATATTACATGTAATTTTTAAAATATATATACTTTTTGTACTGTAAAATAAACTGTTAATGATATTATGTATAATTGATTTTTGTTCAATAAAATTTTAATTAATAGTATTTTGTGTTTATAATTTATTAATTTACCTACTACTAATATCTTAGTAAATGGTTTTCATTTAATCAGTGTGATTACAAGGGCGCCTACCAATGTTTTTATAGGGTATATTTATTTTTTAAAAGCTATTGTTTTCAATTAGAAAACTTAAAATAACCCGCCCTCTTCCTCAAACCATTACACATATTTTAACATTTATTACTAAATAAACTTTTTACTAGTTCCATAGGTACTACTTACTTGGACAAATATAACATTTCATAGTCAACTTAATGCTAACATACCTATAAGCATAATTAGTAGGTAACAAATATTAAACCCAAAGAGTTAAAATTTCTAGTGGGGCTAAATCTTTGTCTGGATAGAAGGGTAAACTCCCCCTATTCTCCCCTTATTGCACCACCGGGAACAATAAGCTAGTTTGGTGTAACGTGCCTATATTGTTAAAATAACCATATTTTACAAATAATTTTTGGTCTTCCAACAAGAAAATATGTTGGAGTAATCATGTCATTGTTGCTGCATGTAATAATAAAAAAAAAAATTGATTAGGTTATCTCAACAAATTTGTATTGTTGATGTGACAAATCAGAGTGGTGGATTAACAATAAATAAATGTTACTGCAAATAATAAGTGTTGTGTCTCATGAACATAGTGCACATGTTACCTCAACAATATTGTTTTAACATTATGTACTAAGTACTCTTAACTTAATAATTTGATTGTCCCTATAGCTACAATGGAATATTGTTCGGCTAACTATTTAAATGGCTGTAGTAACTTTGTATTTTTTTTCCGTGCAATCAGAATACAATTCCTGACTTGAACGCAATGTTTCAATTACTGATGGAACAAAATCGCATACTGATAAAACAACTCTCTGTTTCGAATTCAAAGACGGATAATGAACAAAGTAATTCGTTTTATGGCATGCCGGATTTGAATAAAAGTGTTAAGTCGTTTACGGGTCGTGAAACCGGCTCGGAAGCAAAGGATTGGCTTAAAACTTTTATTGGAATAACCGAAACAAACAAATGGTCCGATGCATTAAAAATTGAGTTAATTAGTGCAAATTTGAATGGTCCAGCTCAGCAATGGTTTAAAAGTCGTCAGTTCAGCTCTTGGAAAAATTTTGAGCAACAATTTACTCGAACATTCCTTGGTATTTTAAATCGTACAGAGTTCTGGCACGCATTGGTCGCTATGACGCAATCAAAGAATGAAGCAACTATAGATTACTTATATGATAAAGTACATTTGTGCAGTGAATTATGTTTGTCATTTGAAGAGACAAAAACACAATTATTAGAAGGGTTTTATTCGCAAATTATGGTTACATATTTGTTATCAAAACATCATACAGAAACTGATGTTCGACGATATTTTAACTTATGAAAGATTATATAAAATGCGTACAACCCTTCATGGCTCAAATAAACAAACCTCCTCAAGCAATTCAAATTCATTCGTTAAAGCTAGTGGTTAAAAAAATAACTCAAGTCTAGAACCGAAGCAAACCTCAATCAAACGTTGTTTTAATTGCTATAGTTCTACACATACTGTTATTAACTGTCCAGAACCTAAACGGCAGCCGAGGTCATGCTTCAAATGTGGATCTACAGAACATCAACAACGATATTGTAAGCTGAAAATTAACAAAACAAGTCGAGGCACCAGCGAGTACTCAACAATGATGATCGAAATCGATGAGGCAAGCAAGTCCACTATTTATGCTTGGTATTGATGTCATGTGTGAGACAACTCGTTGGACCACGGAGGCGCTGATTGATACAGGTAGTCCAATTTCTATTATCAAAGAAAATGCTGTTCCCAAAAATGGAATTGTTATCCTTGTTAGTTCTAAACTTTCTGCTATTAATAAAAGTCCATTAAAGGTATTAGGTGTTATTAATACAAACGTATCTGTAAATAATTTATCAGTAGATTTAAAAAGGTATCATATTTTATGTTGTTGATAATAATACTACGAATTATAATTGTTTATTAGGAAGAAATTTTATTAATAATAGTTTAATCAAATTAACATTTGATAAAAACTTATTTATTGAAAAAAATGATTCTCATAATGAATTTATTGTTGATGATATCGTGTTAATTGGCACTGGTATGTCAAATTCATTACAATTAGATATTATTAGTGACTTATGTGCTGATATACAGGAACAGGTTAAAGTAATATTTGATAAACATTATACTTATGCAGTAAGGCCTATAGAGAAAAAATTCAATATGAAATAGAAGTTAAGTTAACTAAAGATCACACACCTATTTATTTTCATATTAGGCGAATGTCTTACAGTGATAAAGAAAAACGTAAAGCAATAATTGATGAATTATTAACAAATAAAATCATAAGACCTAGTTTTTCTCCGTATTGCTCCCCTATAGTACTAGTTAAAAAGAAAAAAGGTAACCTTAGACTCTTAGTAGACTTCAGGGAATTAAATAAAGTAACAATTAAGGATAGATTTCCATTACCATTAATTGATGACCACCTTGATATGTTAAAAGATAAAAAATATTTTACTATATTAGATTTAAAAAATGCTTTTCATCATGTTAAAGTACACAATGACTCTGTTAAGTATTTATCATTTGTAACTCCTAAAGGTCAATTCGAATATACTTGTATGCCTTTTGGATTTTGTAACAGCCCTGCAATATTTATGCGTTATATTAATAATATTTTTTATTCTTTGGTCAATTCGAATAAAATTTTGATCTATTTGGATGATATTCTTATAAGTACTGAAACAATGGATGAGAATATTAGTACATTAATTGAAGTATTTAATATTATGACTGAAAATCACCTCCAATTAAGATTAGACAAGTGTTCATTTTTACAGACTAAAATTCATTATTTAGGCTATGAGATTAGTCATAAAGGTATCACACCTAACCCAGATTATGTTAATGCTATACGTAGTTTTCCTATACCTAAAAATGTAAAAGAAGTTCATAGTTTCTTAGGACTAGCTAGTTACATCAGGCGGTTCGTTAAAAAATTTTCTATTATTGCTAAGCCCTTGTATGATTTACTAAAAAAAAATCAAGACTTTGTTTTTGGGGAGGATCAATTGTCAGCATTTGAAAAAATAAAATTATTTTTAACATCTCCACCAGTTCTATGTGTTTATTCACCTTTATTAGAAACAGAATTACACTGTGATGCTAGCCAGTTAGGATTTGGTTCAGTTTTGGTTCAGAAACAAATATATGACAATACCTTTCATCCAGTACCTATTTTATTTTAGTAAACGCACTACTGATTGTGAAACAAGATATCACAGCTATGAGCTAGAGTGTTTGGCAATAATTTATGCTCATAAAAGATTTCATATTTATTTACAAGGTATACATTTTACAATTGTAACTGATTGTCTTAGACTTACACTAAATAAAAAGGATATTTGTCCTCGTATAATGCGTTGGGTATTATTTCTTCAAAATTATGATTATAAAGTAGTACATCGCCCTAACAAACAAATGTGTCATGTAGATGCATTAAGTAGAGTGCAAAACATTTTAATATTGGAAGCAAATACATTCGAACAGGTATTATCTATTAAATAATCAACAGACTCTCAAATTGTTGCAATTCGCGAAAAGTTAGAAAATTCAGATATTCCAAACTTTGAATTGCGGGATGGCTTGGTTTATCGTACAGATGGAAAAAAATTGTTATTTTATGTACCTAGTGAGTTAATAGATAATGTAATTAGAACTTGTCATGATAATGTAGGACATGTTGGTATTGATAAAACATTATCATTAATTAATAATTCTTATTGGTTTCCAAAAATGAAGGACAAAATTAAAAATTATATTTCAAAATGTCTAAAATGTTTATCTTATGCTCCTAAAAATGGACAGGCTGAAGGACTGCTACATGCTATTCCTAAAGGTAATCTCCCATTTAATACTATTCATGTAGACCACTTGGGTCATTGACTTGTCATCAGATGAAAATCTACGTATCAGATTTCAAGAAACTGCAAGTGATACATTTTGGATTTCTCCATCAAATCTGAATATCCAGA